TTTGGTACCAGCGATCGAACTTGGGTCCTTGCACTTGCGAAGTAGGCGTCAGAACCACAGAGCTAAATCCCTGGCCCTATGAGTGATATTTTTAGAATTAACCATATAGAGAATAGACTATTAGAATAAACCATACCTGTTTATGATTATTTAGCAAACACCTATCTTTAGTATTGTCATCACCATCAATATTTATTTCATTTTATACCAGACATTATTCTAGTTTTACACTATTACATTAAAATCCTGTTAGTGAGTTGACTCATTTTACAGTGGACAAAAGAAGTACAATTCAATCAGGTCACTTGTGTAGATCAGATAACTAAAAAATGGTACTACTACAATTGAAACTCAGAAAATTTTAACTGAAGAAATAACTTAATCACAATGATCAGGTTCCTTTTGGTAGAAATGACTTAATATTTGTTAAATGAGATACAGAGTTATGGGTAGAGCCAGTGGATCATCTGTGGATAAATGTAATGTAAAAAGAAGAGAAAGGGACAGGGACGAGCTTAAAAGGTTACATTGACAGGCAAAAAAACCCAGAAGGTAGCCTTCATAAATGCACAGTTTGGTTTTTTTCATGGATAGATGCAGAGAATGAATCTGAAAATACTGTACGAAAATTTCAGTGTTCTGTCAATATTTTGTTGCTTAAGTCCGAAGTAGTATTTACTATTTGATTAAGCATTACCCTTTCAGGGCCAGGGATTTAGCTCAGTGGTTTCACCACCTGCCTTGCAAGCTCAAGGACCTGAGTTTGATCCCCAGTACTAAAAAAAAAAAAAAAAATTACCCTTTCATATTTTCTTTCACAAACATGTTCTTGGGTGATTCACGGAATAACTGTGTCAGAAGACAAAACTGATAGGCTTTTTTAAAGATAGGCTCTTCTTTGATAGGCTCTTTCTAAAGAAGAGATTGAGTTAGCTTGCTACGTGACTTGCTCCCCCATTTGACCCCCATTTAATCAATATTACCTGGGTGACTGTACTTGTAATCTTATTGGTTGGTCATGGTTTGCCCCATCTCATGCTCACCTTGTAAATTTCCATTGGGTCTTATAGTTTTGTCCAACTTTATACCTGTCTCACCACGTGGCTTTGCTATATAAAACATCTTTGAAAAGTGGGGTGGGTGGACAACCCACTTTCCAGTCTCCCTTCTATCTCTCTTAGAAGCTTTCTTAATAAATTTTTCCTACTCTTAAAAAAAAAGAAAAAAAAAAAGAAGAGATTGAGTTAGGATTATACCGCTAGGTCATCATGGCTGATTTTAACTTGCATTTTCAGATTTCAAAGTCAATATTCTTTTTTATATATTGAGTCTTTCATGTATTTCACCACTCAACTGAAGTCAACATCTCAAACTCAGTCTCTTAATTTCTAAATCTAGTAGTATTGCTTCTGTTACCTGTGAATCTTCATTCATTACCATTAATTGTTGCCTTATAAAATACTTGCCCCAAACTTTTCTTCATTATGAAATATTATGTTCCAATTTTAGAAGATAGAAAATACAGTTTTCTCACCTGTAGATAACTATAGATCTCACATGTTTAAGTGTATTTCTTTCCTCTGTGTATATAGTTAATGTAGAGATCAAATTATATCTACATATTTTTTCTGCTTCATGTCTTATCAAAAGTTTACTTTCTTTAAGCAAAGAGGATTTATCATTGTTATATAATTTGGAAATTTCAGGACAGCAAATCATAGGGACAGAACCAAATGGCCGTACTGTATTGTTTCATTTTTTTCTGTCCAACAAATTTGCCTGCCACATTCCACACAGAAATTTTACTTCTTGGAGTTGTGCAGTGCTAAATTTGAAAGTACTAAGTTGGCCCTTCAGAAATAAGCAGATTTTATGATAATTCTTGCTTTCCAATTTGCTGGTGGGATTTTTTTGTTTTTAATTTTTAAATAAGACTTTAGGAGAGTTGTAAATATAAACAATCCAATAATTTCTGTTTATTATTTATAAATATTTTATCATGTTTGCCTATCATTAAATATGTACATGCATATACAGTGATACCTCAGTTCATGAATGCTTTTGTTTGTAAACAATTTGGTTCACAAACAGAAGCATTTGACAGAATTTCGTTTTTGTTTAGAAACTCTTCATTGAGTGACAAACATGGCCACAGCCATCTTTCCCACACAAACACAAAATCGTAGAACAAATTAAATTCATAAACCGAGGCACCACTGTACTCACATTTACTTACATGTTACATTGTATTCTATGTAAAGTTGTCCCTGTGTATCTGCAAGAGGATTAATTCCACAAACTCCTGTGGATACCAAAAACCATAAATGCTTAAGTTTCTTATATAAAATGGTATAGTATTTGCATATAACCTACATATTTCTTCCTATATGTTTTAAATCATCTTTGGTTTACTTATCTAATGCAATATAAATGCTATGTAAATAGTTGTATTTTGTAGAAAATTAATGACAACAACATGTCTATGTGTTCAGTACAGATATAAGCTATTTTTGCCAAAATATTTTCCATCTGTTACTGGTTGAATCCATAGATTCAGAACTCAGGTATAGGAGGGCTGATTATATACATTACAGTAGGCTGTGTATGTGTCCATAAGTATATATATGTTTACATAAAAGTATACACATGTATACATGTATTATATTTTTAACATATCATCTCATGGGTCTTCATAAATAGGCAAGATTAATTTTTGAACAGAACACCACAGTAATGAGTCTATGTCAGTGCAGCCTCTCAGATTCTATCGTACATATTTATCAGAAATTAATTTTGATTACTTGTTTAAGCTGGTATTTGGTAGATTCTCCAACTGTTCAATTATGCTTCCCTTTGTAACTAATTAGATATCTTTTGGAGAAGTATATTGCCAGTATGTGGTTATCCTTTTTCTCATTAGACTTTTACTCCTTTGTTTGCAATCTATTAATGATTTTTGCTTTTATGGTTATTTTTTTGTGATTTGGTCCAGTTTGTCTTGCTGTTATACCTAAAACTAGGTAATTCATAAAAAACAAATTTAAGGACCAGCTATCTGGTGAGATCTGTTTTTTACTTTTAATCTGGTATCTTGATGCTGCGTTATCTGGAGAGGAGGACCTGTTCATGGTGGAAGAGCAGAAAGGGGCAAATAGAACTCCCTCAAGCTCTTTTGATAGTAGCATTAACTTTTTCTTAAAGGATGGACTTTTCATGGCCTGAACATTTTCCATTAGGCTCAATCGCTCAATAATACTGAATTATGGGCCGGGGATTTAGCTCAGTGGTTTCGCCTCCTGCTGCGCAAGCGTAAGGACCTGAGTTCAATCCCCGGTATCAAAAAATAATAATAATAATACTAAATTAGGAATTAAGTTTCCAACACATGAATTTTGGAGGACACATTCAAATCATAGCATTTTTTCTATTTTGTATATTTGTCAGAGTATTTAATGTTTGATTATTTTTTTATCTGCTGTTATTTAAAAATATTGTCTGATTCTATTCCATTTCTAAGTATCATTTAAAATGTTTCTTCCCCTCTGGTAAAGTTTTAGTCAAAAAAGGATTTATGGAAATCCATTGTATTACTATTAGACTTAAACGTATTTTTAACTATTTCCTTCTATTAACTCTGATTTTTAATTTTACACTTAGGTTTAGAAAATTTTCATTTATATAGATAGACTATTCCCCTTGTATATTCAGGATACATAAATTCAAGGAAGGAAAAATATATTTCATTTTAAGTAAAAGTCGTAAAAGGTTTATCTGACTAAATGTAATTGGCATGCAAATGATAGTATGTCCAAATCAGTACTTTCATTTAGTGTAGCTACTTGTAGATTCTTTTGCAGACATCAATATTTGATGACATAATTAATATAATGTATTTTACTAATTTTAAATGTGATAACTAAGGATTTTACTTTCCATTTTGAAGACATTAGAAAATATTGTTGATACTGCTTACTAATTATCTTTTTCAATAAATTACAGCAAAACATTTACTGTTTTGGAATTGAAAGGATGTCATCATGGCAAAATTTCGGAGAAGGACTTGCATCATTTTGTCACTTTTTGTTCTATTTATTTTCTCTGTGATGATGAGTTTAAAAATGCTGAGACCAAATACAGCTACTTTTGGAGCTCCTTTTGGACTTGACCTTCTTCCAGAACTTCATCAACACACTGTTCATTTGGGGAAAAAACTTGATTTACAAAAGAGTGACAGAATCAAGAGTGAAACCAATACCAAGAATTTAAAAAGTGTCGAAATCACTATGAAACCTTCCAAAGCCTCTGAACTTAACCTTGAAGAACTGCCTCCTCTGAATTACTTCTTGCATGTATTTTATTATAGTTGGTATGGAAATCCACAATTTGATGGTAAATATATACATTGGAACCATCCAGTCTTAGAACACTGGGATCCTAGAATAGCCAAGAATTATCCACAAGGAAGACACAACCCCCCAGATGACATTGGCTCCAGCTTTTATCCTGAGTTGGGAAGTTACAGCTCTCGGGATCCTTCTGTCATAGAAACTCACATGAGACAAATGCGTTCAGCTTCTATTGGTAATTATTTTATTTATGTGCATGTGTATATGTACTGTATAGAAATAATTGGTGAAACATTAAGTTATTATTTAGTCTTCACATTATGATTACATTTTTGAACTCATCTCCAAATTTAAAATTCTATGTGTTTTTAAAAATTCAGGTAACTGCCTTTTTCTTACTGTCTTTAATGTATGTTGTTTAATTTCTAAAATTTTGAGTATTTTTATTGATTTCTAATATAAATCTATTTCTCAGTTATTTATGATTTACCTAGAATTCAGTGAATTTCCCTACTGTAAGTTAAAAGCTCAACAGTGTTTCTCAAAGGTATGTACCGTTTGCCACTCGAATTAAGAAGTAAAATATTTCTATAATCCAAAAAGTCGCATCATGGTTTCCTTATTCACCACCGCTTGGTATGATCTGATTTCTATCACTGTAAAGTAATTCTCACTTATTACTTTATGAAAACTGAATCATCTATCACTTGGTCTTATTAATGCAATATTTTAAAATGTACCTATGTTGTTAAGCACTCAATAGTGAGCAGTTTTTGTTGATGAGTAGTCTTCCATTATATGATTATAGGAAATTTGACTCTGTATTCTACTGTTGATAGACAATTGGGCTGTTTCAAATTTTAGAAATGCTGCATATGATTTTGTTTTGCTTCTCACTTTGTTTAAATTACACGGAGAGTCTCCTTTTTTATAATTTTTATGTGTAATGTAATGATAAGGTTTTAAATGTAGCATTTTGCTATTTCATTTGCACATCCCCTGTTTGTTCTTTTTCCTCCTCTTTCATGCCTTCTTTTAACATTGAACATATGTGTTTTTCCATTTTGTATTCTGCTTTGGCCTAGTACATATATTCATTCATTTTTATTTGTTTTGTAATTACTGTAAAGTTTACATTATACACCTTTGCCTTCATTGATGAGACATCATTGAGTATTATTGTTAATATTCCCCCTCAGCTTTGTCTTCCCTTTCATTTTAGTTACATATATTTAGATAGTCACATTGTCCTATTGGTAAATTATATGAAAAATATAATTTGATACCAGAAAAGCCTTTTTTTTTTTTTAGTATAACCTTTTGTAGAAATTTGTTGTATCAATTTTGTCTTGTTAGTGCTCTTAGCAGTAGGACTGTTAGAAGAAAGTGGGTCCAAGAGGAAATTCTCAGGTTTTTCTAACTCTTCATAAACTAATGTACTACTCATTGTGGAGTTAATATTTATACAGTGAGAAATTCAAGGCTCTTTAATGAATAAAACTGAGGCTATATTAATATGTATAAACTGACCTGATTTTCTTCTGTGGGGTAACTGTGTCAGTTATTTATGTCATCTTATTTTCTAGTATGTACTTTCAGCTCTAGTTTGTATGTTCTTTTCATATTATGTCATAAAATAGATTTTGTAAAGGCTATGTACATACCATTGACTTCTGTGTGGTGAGGGTGTGTGTATCTGTCTTTATTTACTAATTTAACTTAGAGAGGATAACCTGTTGAAATGATTTTTTTCTATTTTTCACAAAAAATTTATATCACATTCAGTCTCCTGTTACTTGAGAGACTACTTTGGTGTGGCTGTAAAACAAGTGCTTGATTAACCAAGAAAATGGTTATTTTTGAAAATGTTAATTTTCTTTTTACATGTTGAACTGTGTACAGTGAGGTTTTCCTCATTTTGAATATAACTTTTATATTTTATATAAAATATATATTTTATATTTATAATATATAATATATATGCATATAATCTGTGGAGTGTTATATATAAATATATATGTCATACCATGTTTGCCATGGTTTAATTTTGATTAAAGATCTTTTAGTTCACATTTAGTTTTGTGACTGTCTAATGCTTATAAAAACTTTTCCTTCATATACTATTTCACAACTACATTGTACTTATGAACATGAGTTATTTCTGAGCATTGATATACTACAGTTATTTTTGCTTTAAATGCTGATCTTATCGATGCATTATTATTTTATCTGGGTTTTCTGCTGAACAAAAAGAAAAACTGATAGTAATAAAATAATTTGAAAATAAAGAATTTGTATCTTAAAACCGTTAAATTTTAAATTGTACTCATTAGCATAGGGAAAAAATAATTTCACTGTAAAAATACTGAACAAAATTTTTTAGTCTATGGAGTTGTACTAACTGACATTTTTTTCAATTGAGGAAACGGTAAATGAAGACTATTTTATAACTGTTTAATTAAATGTGCTTTGACTTCATGCTTACTATTCATTTTTTTCTTTGATATAAATGGCTTTTTGATTTTAAATTGTCATGTGAAGTAATCACACTTAATATATGACAGAATACAAGTTTTTTGATTTTCTGCATTTCCAGTTAGAAGCACTGTGCTTATAAGTCCAGAATTTTTTGTTGTTGAAAAAATGATAAAATTAATGTGAAATATTTTTATGTTTACCAATCCAATTAATATGTAGTATATTACAGTGTATCATAATAGCATATCTGTATCCCTTTTAGGTCTTTCAGGTAAAGGATTACATATCAGAACATAGTCTGTCTCTTGTATTGATATCTTTACAATTTGAAAAGTACCCAATAGATAACTTTTTATTTTTAAATACAGTTTTCAGAAAATCCAGTTTGAGAGCCAGAATAATGGCTCCCAGGAGGTATACATCCTGATCCCTAGAATCTGTGAATGTGATTTTTTTTTTGAACCTAAACATTTATTGGTACATTTTAGATAAGCATAATGATAACATTCATTATAGGGAGTTTGTACCTGTACATAATATATCTTGCTTTCTTTTTCCCCGTTCCCCTCCTCTCCCTCCACCCTTCCTTATTTACAAAAGCTTTGTTTCTATTTTTTCCTTCTATTCTTTTTCTTATCCACCCCTTCTCTTTCTCATTTGAACTTTTACTTCCCATTTCCAAATATCTGTTACACATTTTGGTCCTTATTTCCACTTTTAGTTTCTCATACCAGAGAAACAATGTGCTATTTAAACATGTGGTATGTCCGATTTATCTCACTTAGAGTATGGCTTCAAGGCACATCCATTTAGCTAGAAATGTCTTAAGCTCATTCTTCTTTATGGGAGAGTACTACGTTGTATTAAAAAAAATCTTATCGGTTGATGGGCATTTGGACTGTTTCCAAGATTCAGCTCTTACAAACTATGCCACTGAAATTATGGGTGTGCATATAATGCTGTGGTGTGGTGCTTTTAATTCTTTCTGGGAAGATACCAAGAAGGGGAATAGCTAGGTCAAATGGAACCTCCAGTTTTAGTTTTTTGAGGAACCTCCACACTTATTTCTACAGTGGTTGAACCAGTCTTCACTCCCACCAGCAAAGCCTCACCAGCGTTAATTATTGATTGATTACTTGATAACAGCCATTCTTTCTAGAGAAAGATGGAATCTCAGCATTGTTTTAATTTGCATCTCGAATGACTATTGATATTGAACATTTTTCATATATCTGCCATTTCTGCTTCCTCATCTGAGAAGTGCTCATTCATTTCAGATACCCATTTTTGGAGTGGGTCTTTAAATTTTGGGAGTCTGATTTTTTTGAGTTTTTTTATATATTCTAGATATTAGTCCTTTGAGGAACCACTGACAAAAATTCTTTTCCACACTGGGTAATCTTCATGCTATTGGTGATTTCTTTTGCTGTGGAAAAACTTTTTAGTAAGATGAGATCCCACTTACTGATTCTTTGTGATATTTCCTGTCCAATTAAGTTTTGTTCATAAAGTCTTTGCCTATACCAATGTCTTTAAGAGTTCTACCTATTCTATCTTCCAGCAGGTTTAGTGTTTCTCTTTTAATATTTAGATCTTTGATCCATTTTGATTTTAGTTTAATGCATGGTAAAAGATACGATCTAGGTTTAATCTTTGGCATGTGGAAAGCCAGTTTTTCAGGGGCCACTTATTAAGGAGGCTATTTTTCTTCCAGTTTAAGTGTTTGGCTCCTTTGTCAAGGATAAGGTGGCTGAGTGTATTTGGAGTTGTTTCTGGATCTTTCAGTCTGTTCCATTGATTCTCAGGTCATTTTTTTTTTTTTTTGCCAGTATCACACTGTTTTATCATGATAGCTTTGTAGTATAATAGCAAGTGAGAAATTGTGATGCTCCATGCCTTGCCTTTGTTGCCCAGAATTGCTTTTGCTATTCTAGGTCTCTTCTGGTTCCAAATGAAGTTTATGATTTTTTTCTCTAATACTGTGAGATATGCTATTAGTATTTTGATCAGGATTGCAGTAAATCTGTGTAACAATTTTGGAAATATGGCCATTTTCACTATATTGGTTCTTCTTACCAAAGAACAAAGGATATCTTCCCATTTTCTGTTATCTTCTTTGATCTCCTTTTTCAGAGAACTGTAGTTTTCCATGTAAAGATCTTTTACTTTCTTTGTTAGATGATTCCTAGGTATTTCATTTTTTTGGATGCTATTATGAAACTTATTGTTTCCCTGATTTCTCACTCAGTGAGTTTGGTTTTGTGTGCAGAAATGCTACTGATTTTTGAGTGCTGACTTTGTATGTAGATGTGATATTTTAAATGACAAAAGGGAATTAAAGTTTCAGTTGCAAAAATTGCTAATCAGCTGACCTTAAAGTGGCAGTTTAGATTATGTGGTATAGGCTAATCTAATCAGGTGGGTTCTTATAAATAAAAGATGGAAAAGAGAGAGTCAGAAGGATGCCATGTACAAAGGACTCAATCCTTTGTTGTTATCTTTGAAGATGGATTAAGGAATCCATAAGCCCACAGTATGATTTGACCTCTGTAAAGTTCAGTGTCAAGGAGGTGTATTCTTCCTTAGACCCTCCAGAAAGAATTCAGTCCCATCCAATACTTTGACCTTAGCCTATTAAGAGACAGATATCACATATCTGACCTATAAAACTGCAAAACAATAAATTTTATATTTAAAGTAACTAAATACGATAATTATTTATGGCAACAATAGAAAAGTACTACACCTAGAAAGTAA